TTAGGCTCCAAGCATCTCTGGCACAGACCAGAGAGCCTCTGGCACAGTGGAGGACAGGCTGAAGCAATAGTCTCTGCAGGTGGGCACAGCATGGTGACAGGAAGCTTGGGGCAGAAAGCCATCCCTTGGAGATACTGGAAGGGAACCAGGCAGGATGCAGAGTCCTAACCACCCTCGTTAGGCTTAAGGAGGCTCCCCAGTTCCCCAAGAGGCTGGGGTGGGGGGGAGCAGTCAGGTGGCACTTAGACAGGGCCAAGGCAGTGCCATGTACGTGGCCAACATGGATCAAGAGGAGGCAGTAGCTGAGAGCTGTGAATTAGAGGCCATAGAGCCTTTGAGAAGCTTTGCAAGGATGATAGTTCTGGGGCTGGGAGAAGCGGGAGAGTGGGAGCAACTTTGTGTTTGACTCAGGAGACAGAAAAGCCTTGGAGGAATTTGAGTAAGGGAAAAGCAAAAAATCGACCAGTACTCGTGAGGCTTATCTGGCTGTTTAGTTTGAGAATAAACTTCAGAAGACAGGACAGAAACTCTTCCCATACTCTAAACAAGAGATGACAGTGGCCTCAACCAGGCAATATGTAGAGATCACCTGCCTTGAAGGTGGAGCTGAATGAGTTATTCCTTGTTTGGATGGACAGGTGGATGGATGGATGGATGGGTGGGTGGGTGGATGGATGGATGCAAGGGTGGGTGGGTGAGTGGTGGGTGAGTGGATGGATGGGTGGATGGATGAATGGGTGGGAGGTGGGTGGATGGATGGAGGGTGGATGGATAAATGGCCATTTGCACTCACAGATAAGTGTCCTCACCATGGGTTGGGCGTTGTTAATTTTTTGAGATAACTATCAGAGTGTTAAATTGGATCATGAATAAAAACTAGAAGCTAGTTGTGCACACCTCACACTCTACCCAGAGGGAAGAATATCTTTTTGGTTTAATGAAAGTTTTCCATGAAGTCAACTATCTGGGGTCCGTCGGTGGTCCCCAGGCCTGCCGTCGGTGGTCCCCGCGCCTGTTCAGAACTGGTCCATTCGAAAACAGAACCCGGGCACAATCGCGTGCTTTGAACTATCACAGCTGCCGCGTGCGCATGTGCGTTCACCGTTTGGCCAGTTGTAGCTACAGCGTGATAACAACGACAAAACAAGCGGACCGTGGTGATTTCCACAAAGGGAGCGACGAGTGGGGATGTGGAGGCAGCTCCTGTCGTTTGTCATGGGGACAGGGAGGGAACGGGGACAGGGACTGGGACGGGAACGGGATGGGGACAGGACAGGACACAGCCGTCCCCTGGCGCCAGCGGGAGCTGAGCTGGGCTTTGACTTTATTTGGTGCAGCGCGCGCGGGCCAGAGTGCAGCGGGCGCTAATTATAGCCGGGCAGCTGCCACGGGGTGCGGGGGCGGGGGCGGGAGCGGGAGGGGCGCACGGGGCGGGGCACCACTGTTGGGAGGCGCAGGGGGCACACGGGCGGGGGGGGGGCGCGCCCCCTTTGATCCGGCCCCCGGCACGCCTCTCTGTGGAGGGGCGCGCCCGCATCACGGCTGACGGATGCCGGATGCCGGGATGCCGGTGCAGTGACCCATCCAGTCCGCGGGGCTCTCCAGGGGCTCTCCAGGCTCCGTCCCGCCTCCGTGGAGGAGACTCAGTGTCCCGCTGGAGCTCTGCTGGCCAAACCGCGGGAGGAAGGGATCGCAGACTTGCGTTAGCAGAAGTGACCTTTGCTCCCCTGGCCTTCTTGTAACCTCCGCGTGTGCATGCATGTGTGCGCGAGTGCTCGTGTGTGCGTGTGCGGGGGCCAGCCTGCAGGTGTCAAGTGTTCCCGGGCCGCCCACGCAGCGTTCACTACCAGAAGAACATTCCAATGCTTCTGTCCAGCTGCGGCCCTCCCGTGAAGCCCTGTGCTCGGGCGTGCCCTGGGCACAGCAGCCTCTCACCTCCCCAGCCCAGGCTCGCTGGGCTACGGGGGGGGGGGGCTGCATGAGCCTGCGCGCATGGGGTCCGGCACACTAGTGTGCACGCCACCCGCACTCTGGACCTGGCCGTGCGCAGATGATTCCGCTCCCTTGGCGGGTCTCCACAGGACCCCACGGGCACGCAGACAGGGCCCAGATCACGGGATGATGGTCCCACGCATGAAGCCAGGGCTGGAAGGTCTGAGACTCCTCTGTCCACTGGACCATCAAAAAGCCCAGAATGCGGGGACGGTGCCCAAAACCCTGCATCAAGCTCCAGTACCGGCACGCACACACGACTGCACACACATACACCCACAACACATCAAGCCTGGAGCCCTGCGGAAATGCTATCTAGGCTTTGTTTTGTTTTCCTGGGAACATAGAAAGACAGACAGACAGAGACACACACACACACATCCTATTTGAACTGCCACTGTTAAGATATTTTCTGCATGGCAGAGGAAATTGGAGTGAGCTAAATATTCACCTGTCAGGGTGGTTACCTGCAAGCGTTCAGAGCCAATCCCACCTCCAGTGTCAAGTGGAAGGAGGCCTGTCCCCAGGGGCATCTTCTCAATTAGTTCAAACACTAATTGCTCAGTAAGAATGGCTAAGTGAAGGGAGCTGCACGTGATGTCACTGAGCTCACCCGCCCCCACCACACATGTAAGCTATACTTAGAAATATTTAAATGTGACATTATTACCCTATGCAGGATGTCTTAGCATCAGGGCTTCTGGGAGCTGCTGGATGGAGGGAGCTCTTCATGCAGCCACTCAGGGAGCAGGGCTCTGCACTCTCCATTCAGGCTGGGAATCTTGCAGGCTGGTTGGTCTCCAGGTCTTGGCTTACTCAGGAGGAAAACATCTCCTGGAAGTTTCTCATGGCTGATCCTAGGATAAATGTCACCTGCACTGCAGACTTGCCAGTCTAGAATTCTGAGCTGGTGTGCACTGTGAAGGGTCATGCTACAGGCTTTTTGGTGGTTGTTGTTCAGACACATTCAAGGTGGTTTACAGAAGACACTTTATGCCATTCTAAAGGGATTGTGTTTAGGAGGTAATCTTAGTTGTCCTTCAGATTCGAAATAGGCTCTTATGTCCACATAATGTCAAAATGATGATGTGCCTGATATAGTTACCTTTATCCTAATGTATTTTTGTGGATTGTTCGGTTTTATGTTGTTCAGTGGTGTGAAGCATATATTATGATTTTTAAAAAGACCAGTGTAAATTTGTAATCTTAAAGTATACTTTGATTTAAAAAAAATTAAAGGAAAGTGATCTTAAACCAGGAGTTTCAGGTTATTTTGATTATGGGGAGAGAGCCAGATAAGCAACAGGCTAAAGCGAAGTCCACCCTTAGATTAAGTGTGCATGCATGCACACCCAGGGCTTCATGCATGCTAGGCAGGCATTCTACCACTGACCTACATGCCTAGCCCTGTAATTTCTCTAATGACAGAGGTAGCATTGAGGCCCTTATGAAGTTACCTAATTTTCTATCTTCTGATCTGCATGTTACTTGTCTATTTTTGTGAGGGGAGAAGAAAAGCGGAGGGCCATGCAGCTGTCCAGCAGCAGCAGCAGGAGCTGCACAGCTGACAGCTGGGTAGTTTCATCTCATCGTACTGTGCTCGCTGTATCAGAGCAGTACATTCTCAGGAGTTAAACCATGTCCCATCATGTCTAGAACCCCAAGGGTGCACCCAGAACCTAAGCCAACCTAAGCCGGGTCTGTGACCAGAAAAGACGTGTCTCCTTTCACTTTGATGTCCGTAAACAAAAAACAGGCATAGGGAGTGACTCAGGACTTCTGGCGGCCTACATACAACTGAACATTTTTCTGAATGATCCACGCACACACTCAGGAATCAGGAAGACATCTTATTCTTCGCTAACCAAATAAAACCACCTATAAATCATATGCAAAACAACTTTGAGTAATGGAGGACTTAAAAGTCTAGAAACTAAAAGTAGAGCCCCAGATTCTCCTTTTAACTTTTTCTCTCCCTTTAGGGAATAAACAGACATCTGCCACATCAAAGCCCTAGCTTGTTTGGTTTCTTAACCTGAAAATTTTGAATGCAATCATCCAAGTTCATCTTCAGGAGGAGCTTTTGAAATCTAAAAAATGACTTCAGCATGCCATACTACTTTTAAATGTCACTAAAAGTTTTAGGATTTTCAAGTTAGAAAATGGATTGTTTCTGCCTCTTTCACTAAATGAAAAATCGCCATGCCTCTTATTTTATTCAGAGTAATTACTTGAAAATTACATTAAATGGACTACAAATACTGGGAAAAAATGGTTTTAAAATCCAGCCATTTTGCCTCCTCCAAATTATAGGACCACCCTAGTGAAATCATATTGAAGTACACACAATCTCTGTCACTGTGTGATTTCAAACATACAGTAAGTCTGTGTATATGGTAGGCTCAGACTGTAAGTTTCACAACTTCCTTTCATAGAGAAGTCTGCCAAGCCATTGATCAATAGAGTAAAAGCTGAACTGTCCAGGAAATGCCTTATTATGTGAGGGTAGACAGTGGTCTGAATGCATCCAGGGGATCTCTGGCTTTTATCTATTTATAGGTCTGAGTTCAGGATATCAATCAACAAAGCCCACACATGGCTCAAGATCCCCTCCTTCATCCCAAAGCTTTCCCAAGTTTGCACTCTCATCCCACCACACACACACACACACACACACATACACCCCTAGTTTTCCTTTATCTTCAGTGCATTTCCCAAGGCCCAAGACAGCTGTTTGATTCCAAAGAGCAGGCCCAGGTCTGGACAGTATTTCCAAATGTCGCCACTATTTCCTCAGTCAAAGTAAACGTGGACTCCACAGCTGCACTCCACTCCTGTCCAGTCCCCCTCTCCCCAGCCGCTGGTAGCACTTCTTGCTCCAACTCTTATTTGCCTGCAGACCTCAACTCCACTCCCAGCACACACATCCATTTAGTCACACTGCCAACTAGTGATGGCCGGAATAGCCACCCTAAGCTCACTTAAAAAAATTTTTAAAAAGGCCTCAGAAAATTTTCAGTGCTCCCAATTTTATTTTTATTTAATTTTTAATGCTAAAAATTAAAAAAAAAGTACTGTAAATCTGACAAATGACAGAATGCAGGTGATATTTCCATAGCGTGATTTTTAAAATATAATAATGTGGGTATCTGGGATTACATGTACGTCAGCTGACACGAGATTCATCATATATAGAAAAAAACTATCACCTTCAATTTAAAAAGAAAGTAAAGGTTAAAAGGTGGCACACTTTTAAAACACCTGGTGGTCAAGAAAAGGTATACAGTAAAAGTTGTAAGCCACGTGTGTTTCTAACTGTAACAGTGAGGCTGCATGAAAGACAGCGCATCTGGTAAATTCTGCAAACTGTTAAAGCAAAAGAGGGGAAAGCTTTAACACCCCATCCCCAGAATTCTGAGTATTGAGCACAGCGAAACAGTAGGATTTGAAATCTGATAACTGCCCTCCCCCCCTTACAGTAAGTTGCTTTTGACATTTCTCTCCAGCTGTGGGCAATCTCTCATCTGTCATCAAGTAAAGCAGAAGAGTGCACCAGGCTCCAAGGTGAACTTGAAACCTAAGAGCAAGTCTGGAAAAAGCTGGGTGGATATCTCCTGCCATGAGCCTCCCTCCCCCAAAGCCACCCCAGGGGCACTCAGTCTTCCAGATCTTAGATCCAGCCCTTTAAAGCCATTCAAAGTCTGCCCCTCCCCCCACTAGCTCAGAGAAACCACTGGTTGGTCCTTCCCACAGCTTTTCAGTTCAGCGGCAGGGTGGTTGGTTCTTTAGTAATCTTTTTGAAGAGTTTATTGTGGTTCAAGATTGCAAAAGATACAGATAGCCACCACAAATTAGGTCAAACAGACTGACTGACGGAGCTGTAAAATCTATGAGGTCAAACTCCAGTTTATAATAAAGTGCCTAGAAACACAAGGGTACAACAGACCAGAAAAGCCGAGCTCTTCACAGATCTCCACGGGCGTGCCCTTTGCAAGTGCACATTCAGAGAGATCAATCTGATCTGAGTCATACACACTCCAATTCAAAAACCTAACAGCAAACTGGATATAATCATGCAGGTCGGCCATCACTTGACTACTCCAACAGAGATACAAGGTGGTGCACTCACACCATAAAAGACCATGAAAATCGACTAATTTGGTGCAGTATCTGATTTTCAAGTGTTAGTAACTTGACCACTAAAAAACACTTTGAGCAATAAAAAAAAACACCACATAATTAGAAAGAATCCAAAGTTGGCAATCATCTATATTTTCAAATTAAAACCAATGCTAGGCTGTGAACAAGACACACAAATCACAGTAGACATCAAAGCCATGATCCGGCCTAATTATAAGGCCAAGTTACAAAGACCTGAATGTACGGATTAAGACAGCATTCTTGTTGATGGTTAAGTCCTAACAACACCAAAGAAAAACCAGTATCACTGTGAGACAACTATTTCTAATAACTGATTTATTGGTTTAAAAAAGTCATTTCACCAATGCAAATAATGATTCTAAAGGTAAGTTTACAAAAGGGTTCTAAAAATGGTTTGAGGTGGGGCCTGTTCATAATATAAAACCTTTGAGTTCTTTAGTCCTCAGCAGTTGATCTCCCCTTCTCCCAAAGGTATTATTCACTCGGTACTTCAAGCACATTGGAAGGAAACATCAGGTTTCCCCGGCCCATATTGGCCATCACTGGTACCCACAGGTCCTCCAGGTAGCCCTGTTACTGTCAAAGTACCACTCTGTGCCTAACACTCCCTAGAGAAGGGGCAGGTGACAGCCTCGAGAATACTACAGGTAAATGATTTCACACACACACACACACACACACACACACACACACACACACACACACTCCCTCATCTCCAAGTTCACCTGGACTGCAACATCCCTTGAGACTTTCACAGGAAACAACACAACAGAATTCCGGGGTGTTTAAAGACAGACAGATGGACAGAGGGGCGCTGCAGAGCCAGGCTCTGCTCAGGGGCTGTGCCATCTTGCACACACAACAGCCCTTGTAACTGCTTCCGTGGCGAGAGCCGTGCATTATGCAACCACTAGCATACAGCCCTGGATTCTTACAACCGGTCACGTGGACAGTGAACAACCCTCAACTTTGCCTTGAAAAAAACAAAACAAAACATCTCCCCCCCAAAGCCACACAGTCCTGAAAAACTCTGAGCAGCACCTCTCAGCCAATTTTCCAAGCACTGAGTTTCACGAAAAAAACAGAAGTTCGATAAACCCCGTGTTCTGGGGTGGGGTACACCCGGTGCCAGCTCCCAGGGCCATGTGCTGGGAGTCCACACATTCCTTTCCTTCCCCATCCGGGACCTCTGGCCCGGGAAAGGGGCTAGCAGTAAGGAATAACAGACAGTAAGGCAATCTTACAATGTCAGAAAATGTATTTGGCTTTTTTTTTCTCTTTAAAATAAGTGCATACAAATACAGCTAGAAGCATCTGCTTGTCAAGTGCTCTTAAAAAAAAAAGCAGCCAAGTCACAGCCTACGCAGAAGGTAACTGTCACCAGGAAAATAAAGCAAAAAGATCTGCCAATAACGTTAACAAAAGAAGAAAATGCCTTTAGAAGTACATACCTTTTGTCGTCAAAAAAATATAGAAACACATGTATTCAAAAAAAATCAAAATTATACAGCCATGTTTATGAAGTCTACACTTCCCTTGTCTTGGATATATATATATATATTTATATATATTTATATATGTATGGAGAGATATATACAGTTCAAGCAGTCTGAGCCGGGTGCAGCCATCGCGCCTATGGAGCAGGGAAAGTCACGAGTCCCTCTCCTTCTTCACTTTCACGTCTCCGGCCAGGATGGTGGCGATCTCACCCTGCATGAAGGCCCAGGGGACGTTCGAGCCCACCAGCGGGCATTTCTCCCCGCTGGGACAATAGACCTCTCCGCTGGCTCCCTGCTGCTTGATGCTCTGTCTGGAGCAGGGGAAGCAGAACTTGTGCGAAGGGACGGAGGGGCACTGCACGAAGTGGGTGTCTTCTAGCCGCTCGTGGCAAAGGGTGCAGCACAGGGGGGCGCTGGCTGCCAGGGAGGAGTCCGGAAGGCTGGTGGGGTGCACGGGCTCCAGTCCCCCGGTGCCTTGACCCCCGACCTCCCGGGGACCTAGCCTTCTTTGGTTCATAGAGGACGGCGAGGGGGGGCTGGTGCTGTTCCTCCTGGTGGTGGAGTGCACCGGGTTGGCATCTTTCGAGGCATGGTTGCCCCCTGCATTGTCTGCCACTAAGATCAGAGCTGCCATGGGGGACTGGCCATTCTGGGCCGCTTCCGGCGGCGTGGTCCGGTTGGAATGAGGAGAGGCGGTGGGTGGCGGCGGAGACACAAAAGAGGATGCCGGGGTCCCGGGGATCTTGAGCCCCTCGGCGGGCGCGGGCAGCCAGGGCTGGGCCTCGCCGTTCATCTTAGGGGGGCCGACTTCGCCTTCGGGCTCCGGGGAGGCCTTCCTTTTCCTAGCCGTTCTCGCAACTGGAAAACACAAAGGGGGCGCGGGACCGAGCGTGAGCCGCGGCGCGGGGAGGAGTCCTTCCCGCGCCGGACGAGAGGGTCGGAGGGGGAGGGGCGAACTCGCTTCGGAGTCGGTCCGATCCCCCAACAGGGGCGCCCGCCGAGTCAGCCCGATCCCCGGCCGAGCACTGCCGCCGCACGTGCACGCCTAGCCCGGGCTTGCCTGCCACCCGCCCGCCCGCCGCCCACCCGCCGCCCCTACCTGCTTTGGCCCCGCTGGCCCCGTTGGCCTCGAACCCCAGCAACCTGCCTGCGGCTAGGGCCGGCTCCTTCTTGAACTTGCCGTCGAAGGGCGCCGCGTGGCTGTGCTGGTGCAGCGCCAGCAGCGTGTCGCGCACGGTCTTGGGCCGGCCGGCCCAGTCCTGCTCCGCGGGGCCGCGGCCCTTGCCCGCGCCTTCGGCGG